AAATGACATCATGATATCTGGCAAAAGAAATTAAAAAGAGTTCATTGACCAATGTAACTGTTTAAGTTGCCATTACAAAAATACCATAGACTGGATGGCTTAAACAATAGAATTTTTCCCCTCACAGTTCTGAGACTAGAAGTCTGAACTCTAAGTGCCAGTAAAGCTTAGAGTCTGCTGAAGTTTCAGTCCTGATTTGATGTCCTTCGTGGCAGAGGGAGAGAGCAAGCTTTCCTTCTAACAAAGGCACCAGAGTCATCAGGTTTACACCACCTCTGTAGCTCATGTAACTTTAATTGCCTCCTTAAAAGCCCTATTTCCAAATGGTGTAAGGACTTCCGCATAGGAAGGTAGGTGGTAAGGTGACGCAATTCAATCCATGCCACTCATCACTACAATTTAGTGCGCGAGAAACCATTACTTTGTTTATTTTTCCACCTCTATGACAACCCCTTCTTGGTACCCTTTGCTAGATCTATTCACTTTTTATAATATTTAAACATTGGAGTGTCCTTCAAGCTATCCTTATTCCTTCGTCTCGTGTCTTCCCGTGACTTTCAATACTGTTTCACCTAGCCATAGCTCTCTAGAATTGCACATAAACTCCCTGTCATTTTATTTGGACATCTCCTGGGCATTGGAAAGGTAGCATACTATGTAGTATCACTTTAATTTCTAATGACTATACTCAAATTGGCTCTCGTGCTCTTGGTCATCCTATTAATACTTCGCTGGTAATTCTGGGGTTTTCTTCTGGAAAATTATTTTATATCTTTTCAAACCTCCACCACAGCTCCTATCCTTTCTCTTAATCAATATTGGCTTTAAATTCCAAATTCACTGAAGAGCTAGAAGTCACAGCGAACTTTCACGATCTTACACCACCATCACCGCTTTGCCCTCCATTCTGTTTCCCAGGATGAGCCCTTTCTTCTTTCCAATGCCCGTAACTCCATGGTAGTTTTATATCATGGTTGACACAACGTATTCATTAGGTCCTGGCTCTCAGGCATGTTGGCCTGAGTACTCTGTTTAACATCACGTATGGTCGACAGCAAAGAGCAGCAGGGTATGAGCCGTTCTGGAATCTCTAGAAAAGCATCTGTTTCCACATCCAGCCAGGTCATTGGTACAATCCCATCCCTTGCAGTGATCAGAGTGAAGCTCTCATTTCTTGGCTGGATGTCAACTAGAAAACCACTCTGAACCGCCAAAGACCTCTCTTTGGTTTTGCACATGACTCTATAGCACAGTGTGTTGAGTTGAATCCTTCTCAAACTTGGAACATTCTGACTTCTCCTTTACTAGATCTCTCTTCTGCTTCCATCCAGAAAACAAAATGTGTCTTCTGCTTTTAAAGGTTCAGGAGATTAGATTGGGCACATATACACAACCCAGGAGAAAGCTCCCTGCTTTCTGATCTATAATTCCAATTATATCTATGACTTCAATTATATCTGTAAAGTCCCTTTTCTTGTATCTGGTAGTATATTTCCAGGTCCCAGAGATTTGGATGTGAATATTCTGGGAGGCATGTCCCACATTGCACTTCTGCTCCAAAAAATTCCCCTTTTCTCTTCTACATCCTCAATTACTTCTCACAATGGTTCTTTTCAACTAATATAAAGATGACAATATTTTACCCATAATAAAAGATATGGCTTCCAATTACTTGTTTCTTGGTGGGGTTGTGAATGCAACACCTTTGAAAGAGCCATCTATACACTCAATTCCCAATTCTTCCATTCTCCATCTTTCACCTTTTCTACTGATTCTACCACACCATATCTGCTTTTATCAAAGTTTAGATTATACATTCTAAAATTAGTGGTTGGTTCTTGGCCTTCATTTAGTATTTATTTTATATAGGCAATTGCTCAACCCTTCAATTTGTCTTCCAAGTGACCGCTCTCTCAGTTTTTCTGGTACTGTTGGGGGTGCCCCCTTCACTGGTTCTTCTTCGTATTCCTGGTAACTGTGGACTGCCTGCAGCTCTTCTGTCAGCACTCATTATTTTGGTAATCCCTCCCAGTGTGTGCATGTATTAATGACTTACAGATGTATATGTATAGCTCAGAACTGTCCCCTGGACTCCAGGGACAGCTCTGTGATATTGTATAGGAAAAGTTAACATACCCCTCTGTGTGGACTGTTTCTTGGCTAATATCAGCTCCATTCTTCTGTTTGACAACACCTCCATTTTTGGAGAGGTCATTGCCTCTTTTAACTAATATATATATATATATATATATATATATATATGTATATATATATATACACACACACACATACATATATACATTATGTATGTATATATGTATGTATATATATGTAATACTTAGCATTCATTTAACAAATCTTGTTGATGCTAACACCAAAGTATAGAATCTTGCTGACAGCATGCTGGACACCACCAATTTGATCACTCTATTTTATCAAAACGGTCTATTTACTAGTTCCTCTCATCAACCTTGGCCTTTATACACCTTCTGTAAAGAGAATGTTAAAATTAAATCAGATCATCTTACACCTTGGCTGATTTTTTTAAAAAGCTACAGTACTTATAATGGCTTAGAAAGCCTTATATGATCTTCCCATATCACACCGGCAGTGAGACCCTCCCTCCCACCCCTCCCCCCTCACCACCCTGGGTACTCTGAAGATTGTAAGCTTCTATCTGACCAGAGACTTTCTTCATTTTATTATTTTCTCCACCATGTTACCATCCAATATCCTACCTAAATTTTATATTTATTAATATACTCTTACCATCATCAAGAGAATTTCAGTTTCATAAGGGCAAAGAAATATATGAATGTGTGTGCACATGTATATGTGTGTGTCTGTGTCTGTGTCTGCATATGCATTCTTTATTACTGTATTTCTAGTATCTAATACTGTTACTGGTCCAGAGTATACAATGAATATCCATTGATGTTAAATGAAGCTCTAGAATCACTTTCACCTCAAAATCTGTTTCCTCATCAAGTCTTCCCCAAACGAGTAAACAACAATCCTCTCCTGGTTTGCTCAAACAGGAATGTGGGACTCCTGTCTTTCACATCTCATATCTTCAATCCCTGACAGTTCTACTGACTAGCACACACTCAGCCTTCCAGACTCTGGCCCTCTCACTTTCTTCGTTGCTCTCACCAAAGCCTAGGCCACGACATTTACTCACTTTTATTGCAATGGCCTTGTTACTGGTCTCTCTGCTTCTGTCCATGCTCCCTAGAAATCTATATTCTACACAGAAGAAAGAGAAATGCTGCCCAATGTATGTGAGAACGTGAGTGTTTTCGGGTCAAAACACTCGGTTAGAGTTTCCATCCTAGAATATAGCCTAAATCTTTTATCTAGCTATCATATGTTTTGCAATCTTGTCCCAGACACACCTTCCTAAAGCTATTTCTTCCTTTTGCTCATTTTTTCCCAGCCACCCAATCCCCTTGCCAAATCTCTTCACATGTCTTTGATCCTGATGCTGCTTCTTCTACCTGGAATGCAGACACATGTGACTTATTTCTGGCCTTCATGTAGGCCTCAGCTCAAAATTGCCTAATCAGAGTGCTTCCCAGATCATTGCACCTAAAATAGCACACACACACACACACATACACACACACTGGATTCCTATCTTCCTTCATCTCAATGCCCTTATTACCACTTGATATTTTATAGTTACTATTTTTTTTAATCCCCTGTCTCTCTACTTCTCAAAATTCGTAAAATCTATGGAAGAAAATACTAAATTCACTGCCACATTCTCAGCACCAGAAATTAACCCTTAAGAAGGTTACTTAACCTTACTTAACTTAGATACAAGTACCCTCTTTCTCAAAGAATCAGTGTTAGCATCTAAAAAGGGATTGAGTGTTGAGTGTTATGCCTACCCCTCAAACATTATGTGCCTATAGCAATGCAGACTTCTGATTAGCCAGCGTGGGTCACGTGTTCCCTTATCATTCTGGCATTGGTGTGGAGCTGGCAGGAAAAGTTACCAAAACAATTCATAGATAGAAGAGGTAAGTTCTTGAATTTTTTTTTAAAGCTTCTGTTGGTAGAATTCAGGGTGGGGTAGAGGAAAGACAGAGTATCTGGGGGAGGTAAACACAACAGATGGGAGCCACAGAGACTTTCCAGAGTGGGAAGGAAAGTACAGGGATAAACTGGAGCTCCTGGCAGAAGAAGATCTCTAAAAAACTGCACCTTCACACACTCCACGAAAGCACACGCGGTTACCCCAGGCACACCTGCATGGCCTCACCTTGCTCTCTTCCTCCTCCACTTCCTCCTCCTCCTCCTGAAGGGCTCCTGTGGGAAAAGCAGGGAAGATCTCCAAGGTAAACAATCCTGAGGCTTTACCCAAGAAGCTGCAAAAAGCAGACAGAAGCAGGAGCAGATGCAGCAACTGACACATAAATTCTATCACTCACTACCTGTGCTGTGGCTCATCTACTCATTACGTACAATTCTGTATCCATGGCTTTCGGGATTTATTAATAATGTATTTTTAGGCAAAGGTAAAACCAAATTAGTTCACAACTAAGCAACAGCTAGGGAAGGGGACATCTATACACACACACACACACACACACACACACACACACACACACACACAGAAAATGGAATTCTTCCTGCTATTATTTAGCTTAGGAAATTTTTATTTATGTATTTAGGTATGTTTGTATTTATTTATGGCGGCACCCATCCCACAAGTTATCTTAAAATTTTTTTAAACAAGTATTTCTGAATATAGAAAGTGTTCCTCAGGTTCTCTTGAGAGCAGAGCACCCTGGCGAATCACAGACACACACATTCTTCCCATAGTACAGTACTTGAAAATTAATAGCACATGCAGAGGAAAAACTAAACCCTTTGACGTCACTCTTGAAATGAGGAAACATAAACAGAAAAGGCTCCACTCCAGCGAGCTGCCAGCGTTGAAGCCGATTGGTCTCTGCTTTTCCTTGCCTGTGGCAACCGACAGCACCTCCCAGCCTCGCAGGCCGGCTGCCTGCCTGCTCACCCAGCCAGTCACTGGTCGGTCTGGGCGCTGCAGCAGGCTCAGCTCGGTCCCAGCACTTGTCTGGGAGCAAAGTGTCTTCACCCAGAGAGTCTTTCCGACCTCCCTTCCTGCTTGATCTCTCTGTGCGCTTTTGTGTTTCTTTCTTTCTCTTTTATTTTTCCCCCTCTTTCTTTTGTTTTATTTTTTTTTTTAGTTTTTATTTTTATTTTTTGGCATACTTGTATTCCTAATCCTGGATGAAGTTGCTGGATTCTGCAGCACAAGTCTTCATGAACGAGCAGCACCGCTCAGCGATTCCACGCCACTCAAAGGTCACAGAGCAGCCACTATGGTTAAATGTCTTGTTTAATGGTTGAGGTATGTATAACAAATTTAAACGGCAAGCTCATTTCTCTGGAGAGGACAGACTCATTAGAGAGATGGCAGGATTTTTACTTAAAATGAACCTGTACATATATCTATATATATATGTATATGTATTTGTCTGTGATTGTTCCTCCAGCAACCAGCTTTTGAATTTCCTTCCTTTTTTCCTAGGCGAACTGACTAAACATTTTCCCTTACCCTGAATTAACTGTTTGAGGGCAATAGGATTGCATTCTAATCAGTGCAATGAGAGACTCGGGCATTTTTTTCTGTACTTAAAAAAAATCCTTTTTAATGAGTGCAATATTTGTTTTCCAATGTACATCTTATAGTTGGGTCCTTTTTCTTATTTATGGTGGAACATGGTAGGAAAATGTGGGTAAAGAGTTTGGTGAGGGTTGTGAACAGGGACAAAAAGAGAAGTCGGGGCTTTTCTTGAGTTTATCATGTTGGTGGGTAGCAGATGACTAATTTAAGACATTAGGGGAAAAGAGGAAGCAGCTGGGCACAAATTGATCAGAGGTATCCGAATCCTAGAATCTGGAGGGGAAAAAAATGACTTTCTTGTCTTGTTGTCTTCTAGTTTAAAAATGTTTTGAATTTCAAAGTCAACAGGCTAGATGTTGGTACTGAGTGACACGGCCAGTGATTCAGATCTTATTATTCACTCAGGAAAATAAAACTTTATTACCACTGCAAATTTTGCTAATTATCTTTTCTTACAACAGTTGAAAGCAGAGCCAGATATTTAATTAGGGACTTAAGTGATTGAGCCTGGGGACTAATTAATCATCTGAAAATTCTGTTCTTCATTTGGTCTGTCTAGGGCGACTATTGCAGTGATAGAGGAAAGCTCTTTGCACCAGGAGGCAGGCGTGTGCATTTGTATCCAGGAAACACACTAAATGCTGCAGGAGAGAGATGATCATAGGGCTAATGCTGTTTTCAGTGAGACATTATAATAGGCCCAAGGGGCTCTGCTAAAATAAAAACTTCTTATTCAGAGAAACAATTATTTCAAAGGCAATTCAAGCCATAGATGGCTTGTAATGATTTCCTTCTTCTCTTCAAAGTTAGGCAATAGTAAGCAAGACAAGGCTGTTTGAAATCATTACCTTCCTCCCAAATGTCTTATTTGATTTCCTGAAGTTTCTATTCTCAGTTGTGAGAAGCAGCAATCTGTCAATCTGGGTCATGTTGGCAGGGCTATGAAACAAGGTTATCAAACATGTAGTACACTTCAAAGGGTTAACAAAGTAACTGCAGAAGACTGTAATGTACCAAGTTAGAACTGCCAAAATATTAGCTCTGAAATGCAGAGGCTGTGCTGTGAATGGACAATCGCTTTTCAGCAGCGCCTAGTGGGGAAAACAAGGGCTTGGTGTGTTGCAAACGCCCAACTGCAGCTCCTCCATTTCCTCTGCTCTATCTTTTATTACTGGCTGGTGAAACAAAGACTGGTGTCAGTGGTTACAACCTGATAGACACTGGCTGTAATAAAATGAAGTTCCTTTTTGTTGTGAGGAGAGGTCCGAAGTTAACGAGCTGCAACTGCAAAACCCCTATCTTCTTTATAAAAATTTTTACTTGACACTAAAGTTGCCTGATATCAGCAGACACTCATTTAGTTGAACTATTTGTGACAAACATTATTTCAGTAAAGTAGCACACAAAAACTCTCCTTTAAATCAAGTTACTTAAGAAAAGGGTGGAAAAATCCAAGGTGTGTCATGGACAAAACAATTATATGATAGCCTTACACCGTGTCTGGCACAAAAGCTATCCATTGTGGGGACTCCATAAAAGCCTAGTTAAAACGATTGCTGGGGATTTACCTAGCATATATTGTAAATTATATAAATAATTTCCAAACAGGGCTTTTTTAAAAACCACTTTGTAAAAACGTAGTCTGGTCTAAAATATTATCTAGAGAAGAACTTTTGAAAGAATAGGGCGTTGCACACCTTGACGTGTTACATTCAGCCAAAAGGACGCCCAAAGTCCAAAAGTAAAAATGACCAAGGTTCCTCAACGTGGAAATGTGCTACCTGGAAAATGCTTTGGACTAAGACTTTGTTTTTCCAAAGTGTAATTTGTTGTGAGCCGGGCTGAAATCACAGGGGAAGTGGCTTGTTAACTCACAGAACATGGTGTTGGAAGGAATTTATTAAGTAGTAAACTAATCTCAAGCATGACTAATAGGGCTTCTCTAGAGTAAAGACAATTGCCAAATGTGAAGATCAGAGCAGGCAGGAACATTAGTGTGGAAGACAACAGTATTGCATGAGCTGCAATGCACATTGCTGAGGTAGGTAACAGGAAGGAAACTTCTATGTATATAAATTATTTCCCAAAGAATTCATCAGCTCATGCATCCCCAAGGTCTTACAGAAAGGAAGAGTCTCTCCAAGAAGATACAACTACTGTCAGAGAAAGGACCTGACAGGTGGAGATTTACCTGGCTCCTCACACACTGGTGAGACCATCTCTAACAAGGCCTCATCTTCCACATGAGAGTAGACTTGGGTTCAATACCATAAGGTTTCTCCAAGCATCTCTAATAGGTCTGTCAACATCCTTGCTTTGACTCATGACATGATATCTACTTGTTATGTTAACAGTCTTAGAAGTGACTGATAGGCAAATCTAAGTAAAAGAAGGGGGAAATGCCATAAGAATCTAGACCAACTGAGTGAGTGCTTTCAAATAGAAGGAAATGTGTGTGGAAGGTCTAGTGTTAAATCAATACATTCATGCTTTTAACTTTGCCAAGAAGTACTGAAATATCTAAATGGTTTAATTTGTACTGAGCGATTGCGTGGCGCAAACTAAAAGAGCAGTGAACAAAGACGAGGACCAGAGTGGGTATCCTCACACAGACAGCAACTTACCCACTGTCTCTAAGCCACCCACTTAATCTTGACCTCAATTTCCTCACCTGAAGAAGGAACTGTTTATGTTGGGTTACTTCTAACTAAACATTTGTTTAGTTTAGACTTTATAGAATATTCTTAGACTCATCCTTGGCTTTGTTTGTATATATAAATGTGAAAATGACAAACTTTTCATTCCAAAAACATGGTCCCACTTTTTCAATATGTCATGAGTTTTGTGGAGCTGAACTGAAAATGAAGAGAGGTAAACAGTGTTTCCAATCTGCAGGAAACTCATTCTGCTTGAACATAAATACAAAGGAGTAGACCTGTACAGACAAATGGAGGAACAAGAAAAGTATATGAGAGAGGTAGTAATGAGAAAAATCTACACAGAAGAGGTAGCCTGATGCAAGTTGAAATGTAAGAAATGCAGTTTTGTATCCATGTAGATACTTGTTTATACCATGCTTTGATATGATCATTGAGGATGTTGCTATTCTGTTGAGTTCATAGTTGTAGTGGCACTCTTTAAAAATTGGAATGGTATTGGAAGTTTGGCCATAAGCTGGTTCAGCCACGGCACCTGACTGAGATGGTAAATCACATTTTGCTTTGGAATTGTCTACTTTGTCCCTTGAACTTAGAAGTCTAGGAATTACAGGAAGCAGGAGTCATTTGAGAACATTGAGAGAAGTTCCACAGCCCAGCAGGCGTTTGATGAAAATTAGGAAGATTCAGAACAGTGCTAGCTGGAGTATGAATGTGCCGGGAAATTGCCAAGTTACTGGGAAGTTTCAGGTTGTAGCTCTGAACTTCCAGAGATCATAGTAGGAGTTTAAGCAGATTTCTTAAACTCTGCTCAGTTTCCTAGTCTTCCTTGCTGGCTGCCTTTGTCTTTCCAAATTCTGTAATCTACCTAGACAAGCTCAGGACTGAACCATTAGCATATTCCTTATATATATAGAAGTGGGAGAGAGAAAAACAAGATTGCTAAAGAGGTTTTGGTGGGTTTTCCTTGTATAAAAGTAGTAATATTTAATTTTTCCTTCCAAGTACTTAGTAAATTCATGTAAAGCTTTTTTCCATTGAATTCTGTTCAGTTTTTTCGTTATTAGTATATTTTGTGTTTTACATTGTCACAATATCATAGATACAAGAAATACATAAAATATCCTTTCTTTGAAATTTTTCTACACACACACACAGAGTCTATTCAAAAGTAAACAATTACACATGACTTAGATATACTCTCCAAATTTTCTTTCTGGTATGGGAGGTATGGTTCACATCTGTTTTGGCATGAGGAATGTGTTTCCATGGGTCCAAATGTGTAAATGAGAAGTCACTCTTTTAGTTTAGCCTTAACCTGGTATCCAAAGATACCAAATGGTAAATGGTTGCATACTCTTTGACCTTAGCAAATCTTAGTCTAAGAGCACTTATAATTCTTTATTTTTACACTATTTTAATACAAGAATCAGAAACTATCTGAACCTACAATAGTGAATTATTGAATCCATCACTTTAAATCCATATAATAATATACAGTATAGTTACATACAAGAATGAGATACATCTATATGCAAAAAACTGGAATGATTTACCAGATGTGTTTATTAATCAGAAAAATACTGCATTAACACTGGTATACATGGTTATATACATTTATACACATTCATAGAAAATGTCTGCTGAGTCAGATGAAAACAAGGCAACAGCTTCTGGAAGGGCAACTGGAATATTGGAAGGGAGAAAAACTGACTTTTCCTGCATTTTGGAGGAATTGATCAACTATCAATTTCCCCTTACAAATTTTGTTTCATTTTTAGTGGAAAAACTGCCAACATTTTAAAAATCATTTCATGATCATTTCAAGTTGAAAGAAATGTTAAAGGAAAAAACCAAAAACAAACACATGAACAAAACAACCAGATACTCTGCTCTGCTTCTAGTTTCCCTCACTAGCTTCTTCCTTCAACCCCATTGGCTCATCATGCAGCTTGAGTAGTTCGGCATCGCTTTCCTCAAGTAGAAAATGAAGAATTTCATCAACCCCAAAGTTATTTACAGCATGGAGACATGTCCAAGAAGCTTTTACTCCACTGTGTGCTCAGC